TGTAACCTGTATTATGTTCCATATGTAATGGTTCAACTACAGTTCTATCAAATATATAATTGAAGTTATGATAATGGTCCTGAGCACAAGTTCAGGAGTCAAAAAGCCAAAGTGTAAATTCAGGATCAGGTTCTGGTATTAGCTGGCAGGCTGTTAACTGGATACACTTGGCAGAGTTGTTTAAGTCTCTATGCCTCAGCTGAATATGGAAGAAATAAACAGTACCTACCTCAAAGGATTGTGACAGTTATGAGACAATACTCATAAAGTCTATAGGTGGGTGACAGTTACCAAGTTTTTAAAATGTATTATCATGTCCACAACAATGATTAAATTACTCTATATTAAATTCCTAAAAGCCTCACCAGTTAAATATGCACTACATTATACAAAAACTTTTAGAATTTCAGGTATTGGGGCTGAAATAAAGTAAGAGAGATAATAAAGACACTGGCCTTGCACACAGCCAAGCCAGGTTCAATCCCCAGAACCCCATATGGTCGCCTGAGCCCACCAGAGGTAATCCCTGAGTGCTGAGCCAATAGTAAGCCCTGAGCACTGCTAAGTGTGGTTCCAAAAACCAAATTAGTAAAATTTCAGGGGTCAGAGAGAAAATACAGTGGGTAAGGCCTTACAGCGGCCAACCTGGATTTGATTCTCGGGAGCCCATATGGTCCTCCCATCCCCCCAGGAGTAATTCCTGAGTGCAGAGTCAGGAGTAACCCTGAGCATCACCAGATGTGGCCCCCCCAAAAAATAAATAACATTTCAGGTATTCACAAAATCTATTAGTGAACCCGCCCCTGTAAAAAGTTCAAAGACAACATTTAAGCTCTCTGAAACTGGCATTTCATGGTAAATTGGCAAAAAGTCAAAGTTTACATTTACTAACTACCCTACCAAAGACAAAACAACATTCATGTAGAATAAGAGAAGCAGCACAGAAAACTTTCCAGAGCTATATGATCTGTTTAAAGCAACAGAATCAGTGTATTGTGTTTGGAAGCCCACATTGGATTTGTTTTCAGATGTATTCTCTGGCTTCACCACCTCACTTATCACATAAAACGAGGTCACTTCTGTATACCTGACCTAGAAAACGTTTTTTTTGGGGGGTCCACACCGGTGATGCTCAGGGGTTAGTCCTGGCTCTGTAGGTAAGCACCTTACCTACTATACTATCTCTCTGGCCCAGACCTTGAAAATGTTTGAGATATACTGACATTCTGTTATATTTTCTCTCCAACGCTTTTAAATGACCTTTTGTTTTGTCCTTTTTTAGTTTTTGTTTTTGTCTTTGGGTCACACCCAGCAGTGCTCAGGGTTTATTCCTCACTCGGTACTCAGGGATCACTCCTGGAGGGGCTCGAGGGACCATAGGAAATACCAGGGAACAAACCCAAGTTGGCTAAATGCGAGGGAAGCATGCTACCAGTTGTATTATCATTCATACAATTTTAAGTGAATGCCTCTTAGAAACACTGAAACAATTTTCAATGGTCTTAATAAAAAGGTTTTCATTCCAAATACCGTATTTACCTATTTCAGATGTTTAGCTGAATTATATCTTATATTTTTGATTTGGAGGCTCTTGCAATCAGGGATTACTACTGGCCGTCTCAGGGGAACTTACATGGTGCCAGTATCAAACCGGAGTTGGTCTTTGCAGCCACGAGGGAAATTTTTAGATCAGAGGTACCACTGTGGACAGCTTTTTCCTGAGAACCATTTTTGCTTAATAAGATTGTTCAGAGGCAGGAACAATAGTACAGTGGTAGGAGTGCATGCCTTGCACACAACCAACCCAGGTTCAAACACTGGCTTCCAATATGATCCCCCAAGCTCCCCAGGAGAGACCACCCCCAAGTGCAGAGGTGGGAGTAAGCCCTGAGCACAGCCAGCTATGGTCCAAAAATCAAAAAGGAAAAAAAAAATTGTTCAGAATATTTGGATGGTCTTCCAAAAACTGTTTGTTTTCGCCCTTTTAAATCTCAGATACTCCTCACCTCTGCTTTTTTTCTGATAATTGACTTCCTGTATCCTGCTACCATAACCTAGTTAACCTTAGAATAATCTTTGGTTTGCTCTCCAAGCCCATGTTTTCCCTTGAACGTATATTCTGCTTGTTTGTCTCTGCTTCTCTACTTGCATTCTTCACTGTGGAGAGCCCGGGTTCTCTCTTGAACATGTATTTCCTCTCCTCTCACATCTTTCTAAGCAAGTTTCTTTTGATAAAAACTATCTTGCTTTGCTGAAAAAAGAAAAAGAAAAATCTGAGGCCAGAACGACAGTACAGGAGGTAGAGCATTTGCCTTGCATGCAGCTGACCTAGGTTTGATTCCTGGCATCTCATATGGTCCCCCCAGCACTGCCAAGAGTAATTACCGGGTGCAGAGCCAGGAGAAAACCCTGAGTATCACAGGGTATGGTCCCGCCCCGCCCCCCCAAAAAAAGGAAAGAAAAGAAAAAGAAAAATTTACATCTGCTTAAGGCAGCTCTCTGCTTTAGTGAGAAATGATAACATTTAACAGATCCTTTGGAACATTGCTTTAAAAAACTGTATTCTCTTATATTTCTTTTTTTTTATGTAGGAGTACTGCTATTTATTTATACTTTTTACTTATTTTTTTGGTCTTTGGGTCACACCCAGAAATGCTTGGGAGTTACTCTTTTTTTTTTTTCTTTTTGGGGCTGGAGCTATAGCACAGCGGTAGGGCGTTTGCCTTGTGCCCAGCCGAGCCGGGTTCGATTCCTCTGCCAGCCCGGCAAAGCCTTGCAAGCTACCCATGAGGTATTCAATATGCCAAACACAGTAACAAGTCTCACAATGGAGATGTTACTGGGCCTGCTCGAGCAAATCGATGAACAACGGGAGGAGAGTGTTTATTTGTTTATGCTTTTTGGGTTACACCCCGCAATGCACAGGGGTCACTCCTGGCGGTGCTCAGGGGACCATCCCATATTATACCATATGGGATGCTGGTGCTCAGGGAACCATATGGGATGCTGGGAATCGAACCCAGGTCGCCAGACCCGCTGTGCTATCTCTTCAGCCCATTGGGGGTTACTCCTGACTGTGCCCTCAGGAATCACTCCTGGCAGAGCCTGGGGGACCATAGCGGATGGGGGGGAGGGGTTTCGGCCACTTTGCCTACAATACTATCTCTACAGCTCCTATATTTCTAACTCTTTTCTAGATTTCACACACTATCACAGTATAAAGAGAAATGTTTTTCCCTTACTTATGGTCTATAGTTTTCAACTTGTTTTCTGCCTCTGTACACTTAACATTCAGCACAGTGATGCGCTCAGGCCGACAGCTGAATTTTAAAAAACAGAAACATTTTCCTGGCTGGCCCAATACAGCAGGAATTTGCTATTCCAATATAAAGCTGAGAAAATAAAGGCGTAAAATATGTAGTATTTTCAACGGACTACCAAGTAACACAAAGTAGTTCTACATAAATAGCTAAAACATTGGAAAGGTCGTTTTGCTTGAAAAGATAGAGGGTAACTTTCTCAATTTTTTTCAGGTGACACCATTCATATCTGCTCATCCACGTTCAAAACCTTCTTTAAAGGCCCCGGAAAAGCTATTATAGCCCGCTGATTTTCAGTGGCTGTGAATCGTTTTCCCTCAAAACTTAATTATCCACATGCTCTATTTTCAATCTTACTAGGTCACCTTGAAATTCTCTCCTTTGGCAAGCCTTGAGGTTTTGCTTTCTTGCTTGTTTGGTTTTGGAGATCTTTTTGGGGGGTGGGGGGGGGTCATGATCTCCCTGCAAAAATCAGCCATAAAGCCCACATGGCTGGCAGTCGCTTCGTGCACGCTAAGACAGACCTTCTTCTCCAAGCTCAAATGGCTCACATGAACGGATCCAAACTTCCCCGGATTGATCTTCTCAGACACCCCGAGATCCTGTGCTAGGCTGCGGCGCTACAACAGACGCGGGATCACGAGGGCTTTTCAACAGCCCTAAGATCCCAGATGCGGGGGCGTCCTCCGCACCACAGTCGGGGCCGGCACTGCTCGCTCGCTCTCCCCGCCCGTGGAGCACCGACCGCCCCACGGTCCCGGGACCCAGAAGCCCACCCCCCAGCCAGCCCCGCGCAAGGGGCCAGTCCCGGGGCTCTCGGATGCGGGGCCCCGGGCGGCGCCCCCGCCCCCCGCGCATGGCGCCTGCCAGGGGAGCGCCGGCAATGCGGGGGCTGGCGGCCGGGCGCGCAGCGGGTCCGAGGAAACCGCGTCCCCGCCGGCGCCAGGCCCCGGCCCGAGCCCCGAGCCCCGAGCCCGCGGCGGCCCGGAAGAGAGCCAGCCCAAGGACGGGCGATCTGCAGCTGCGCCGGCCCTCCGGGGCCCGCGAGCGATGGCCGTCGCCAGGCCGTGTTCCCGGACGACATCCTGCGCCCGGAGAAAGGGACGATCGGGCGCTGCCCGCACCCCACCCCGCCCCCGGCTGCCAGCGCAGGCCTGGGAACGCGCCCCTGAGCGCCCCGGCGCGAGCGAGCCACCCTCCGGGAGGCGAGGTGGGGCGGGGGGCTCGGCTCTGCGCGGCCGCAGCCCCCCGGGGCCGAGGAAGGCAGGCCCGGCCCGGGTCCCTGGCCCCGGCCCGGCGGGCGCCGAGACGCCGAGACAATGCAGGGGTTTGTGTCTGACAGCGCGCGGGGGGCGGCGAGACCCCCCGGGCTTCGGAAGGCCCGCCCTCGGCCCGGGGGGTGGGGGGCTCGGGGACGGGGGGCGGGCCCGTGCCCCCCGGCCGGGCGGACCCCAAGGGGGGCGCGCACCCCCCACCCCACCCCACCCCACCCCCACACGCAGCGGCCGGGCCCGGGGCCCCGAAACCCGCGGCGCGAAGGGCGACGCGGGACGCGCGGCCCGAGGCGCCAAGTGGGAGCGGGGCGGCGGGGGGCGGCGGGGGACGCGGGTGCGGCCTCGGCCCCCGCCCGAGGGGCCCCGCGGGCGGGAGCGCGGCGGGCATGGCGCCGCCCGTGTTTACCTGAAAGTCTCGGTACTCGTTGAAGCGGGAGAAGCGGTCCGCCATTTTGCCGCCTTCACTCCTCGCAGGACGACGCGCTCGGGTTCGCTCGGGCCCTCCCGCGACACCCGCCCCCTCGCTCCCCGCCCCGCGTCCCCGCCCACTCCCACGCCCACCCGGCGCGCGCCGGCGCGGGGGGGCGGGGGCGCGAGCGCGCAGCCCGCGCACGCGCCCTGCGGCCCTGGAAGCCGGCGCCGCCCCCTCGCGGCCTGGGCTAGGCGCCGCGGCCTGGAGCGACCCCGGCGGCTGCGCGTGCGCACGGATGCCCGAGCGCGGCGAGCGCTTCCGGAGGCAAAGGGCACCGGGCTCGGTGGGACGCCTGGCGCACCTGCTCGACCTCCGGAGCGCTTCCTTCGCCAGATTCTCGTGGCCTTCCGAGGCCTGGCCTCTGGTTGAAATGTGCCCAATAGGGGGGTGAAGGCAGGAGATAATAAAGCGGGTAGGGCGTTTGCCTGGCACGCCGTCGACCCGGGTTCGATTCCCGGCATCCCATATGGTCCCCCGCGCACTGCCAGGAGTAATTCCTGAGCATCGCCTGGTATGATTCAAAAAGCGAAACAAAAAAAAAGTGCCAAATGGCAGCATCGTGTCGTGCTTGGATTGGAGCTAGCATGTCGGAGAGATAGTCCAGCTGGGTTCGGTCCCCGGCACCCCAACCGGGACCACCCGGGATGAGCGCAGAACCCGGTGTAACCTGAGCATCGCTGGGTGTGGCCTAAAAAAAAAAAACACAAACAATAGCGCGGGTGGTGGAGCCAGGCAGCGCAGCTTTGATTGCCGCTTTCGCCAGCCCATTCACTGAGTGGGAAAATGCTCCCCCACTGGAGGAGGTTTTTCCGTGGCGGGAGTCAAGCAACTTGTCGAGTGTTAGATAACCGATGAAAGGGGGTGAGGAAAAATTGACCTTTGAATTGACCTCACCTCAGAAGCCCTCATGCACCTGCAACTTTGAAGAAACGGACCGGTGAGACCAAAGGTCTCGTGATTGCCCGGTACTGGGCATTTTCGGGAAGAATAGAGAACAAGGGGTAAGGCGCTTGCCTTGCATGCCTTCGCCCCGGTTCCTACCGGTCCAACATCGCAGGGAAGACACCCACACCCACCCCACCCCCTATTCAGCACCTCAGAGTCTCAGCCAAAAACAGTAACCAAAAAAAAAAAAAAAAGATCCTGGCATTTTCTGAGCAGTTGGAGAGAAGTATTGCTCACAGGGCCAAAGTTGATTCCTATCAGCCCAAACTCTCTGGGTTTCAGTTTCCTCTTTGTAAAGGAAATTGAACTCAGTAATCTCCAATGCCCCTGCCCAGTGCTGACTTTGTGTGGGCCATGAATCAGATTTTTCCATCCTAGGACCTTCCTGAGGACCCCACCCAATCTTTCAGCTCCCTTGGCCAAAGTACATAAAACATTGGATGGCCTGCAGGAACTGACAGGGACCCGGGAGCTAGTTCTGCAGGGAGGGTGCCTTCCCTCTCTGTAACTGCATATGGTCCTACCAGCCAGTGTGTCCCCTAACTGGGGGACACTGCCAAATTGGAAAATGGTCCTAACCCAACCCTTGGGAGGTCCAAAACTGATTCTTTTGGTGGAAGGTTGTGTTCCTTCTATTCTGTTACCTTCTGCATCACTGACCCCCAGTTTCAAGCTGAATGAAGTTCCAGGCAGTGAAGAGAAGAGAGCATTTTAGTTAAGGAGAGGCAAAACACACAGAATTTGAACATCATAAAGAAACTTGAGGATAGTTAGGACAGGGCTAGGGTGCTTGAGCTGTATGAGGCTAACACTGGTTCAATCCCCAGCGCAACATAAGGGTCCCGGGTTCCTTCGCTTAGGAAGGTTTTGGCGCTCAGAGCTGCTACACAATTCAAGTATGAATAAAGAGCTGAAGATTACCAGACATTTGAAGGAAACTTTTCTTTGTTATTTTGGGCCACGCGTGTCTGTCTAAGCTCAGTGCTTACTCCTGGTCAGGCTCAGGGAACCATATGGGGTGCTGGGGATCAGACCCAGATCAGCCACGTGCAAGGCAAGTGCCCAACCGGCTTTTCTATCACACTGGGTCCTTGAAGGGAACTATCTTGAACAAAATAGACAGGGGGCCAGAGCAAGCAATAGTACAGCAGGTCAGACACTTGCTTTGTACACAGCTGACTCGGGCTGGGTTCCAGCACCATATACAGCCTGGCCAGGAGTGATCCATGAACCCAGAGCCAGGAGTAAGCTGAGAACCACTGGGTGTGGCTCCTCCAGGGCCCCTCTCACCCCTCCCACACACACACTCACAAAAATACCCTTTTTACTAAAACACAGTCTATGGGTATCATTTCATTTAGCTTCAAAATAATTCAAATAACTGATAGTATGATTTTCCTGGGAAAATAATGAGACAATGTTCCAATAAGTCAAAGAATTCCTGGTCATACACCTAATGAGATTCCAAAGTGGCCTGCCATCCCTACTCCTGGAAAGGAAAGAGGGGAACTCAGGTGTGTACGTGGGGACAGAATTTGGCTGTGGGCACTGGAATGCAAACAAAATGCTGCTGGCCCTAGGGCTGCATTGTTGAAGGTGAGGAGCCCTGGGGCTGCGCTGTTGAAGGTGAGGGACCAGCCCTACCGTGTATTCATTTCCCAGCTCCTCACAGGGCTAGCAGGGCTGCTCTGAGCAGGCCACAATAGGAGCTGGAGATGGTCCAGGGAGCCTGGTAAGAAAACTCCTTTATCAGGTTTATGTTCTGGGGGTGAGCTTTGGGAAGACAAGCGGGGGAGGGAGAAAGAACGAGAGTGAGGGAGAGATGATACCCAAGTAAACAAATGAGATCCTTTCAGAGAAGGCCAAGTGCTGCAAACAGAGTTACAGGGGACATGCTAGAGGGCAATAAGACAGACAGGAACTGGGTGAGGCTACTTGAAATTCAGGTGACAATCAGGTGACACCTCCCAACAAGGTGCCATTTGTACTGAGAGCTGGATATTATAAACTGGGGCAGAAAGTTCCAGATGGAGGCACAGAGTGCTAATGGGAGGGCCTGTTCTCAGAAGGACTCCTCCAAGCATGCTACTTCTTGAAATTTTTCAGGATTTTTTTTGGTTTGGGCTTGGGGACCACACCTGGCTTGTTCAAGGGTTATTCCTGGCTCCACACTCAATTCACTCCTAGTAGTGCTCAGGAGACCGTATGGGATGCCAGAGATCGAACCCAGGTTGGCCACATGTAAGGCAAGTGCCCTCCCTGCTGTACCATTGCTCGAAACCCTCTTCACAATTTTTTTTTTTGCTTTCTGGGTCACACCCAGCGATTCTCAGGGGTTAATCCTGGCTCTGCACTCATGAATTACTCCTGGCGGTGCTTGGGGGACCATATGGGATGCCGGGGATTGAATCCTAGGCATGAGAGGCAAACGCCCTAACCACTGTACTATCACTTCGTCCACACAATTTTTGAACAGGGAACCCACATTTTCATTTTTTTTTATCTGTTTGAGTCCATTCTGCATCTTCTGGGGCCAGTTCTGGCAGGAGATTGAAGCACACAGGAGAAGAGGATGGAGAGGTAAAAGGAGAAAAATGGGAGATCCAGCAGAGAAGAGCAAAGCTTAGCACACCCAGAGGAAGAGTGACCTGTCCGCAGCAATGCAGTGCTTTTCCCCTGGGTGCTCCAGGGCTACTCCTGGCTCCTGGTGCCCAGAGGTCACTCTCAGTCAGCACTGCTCAGAGGACTGTAGGTTGCCAGAACTGAACCCAGATCTCCTGCCTGCAAAGCCCACACTCTGGCCCCCCTATTCACATTTTCAAGCGATCCATTACTGCATATGTGTGGGGTAGGAATAGGAAGAAGTGAAAGAAGTGGAGGGGAGAAAAGATAGTATAAGAGGTGGGCAGTGATTGTGTTCAACCCCAGTACAGAGCCAGGAATAGTGCCTGAGACTAGAAGGGTGTGACCCCCAAATCCAACAGCAACAAAATAGAAGATAATGAAGTCTGAATCAAATTTGGGTTGGGTCACACCAGGCAGAGCTCAGAGGCTCCTCCTGGCTCTGCACTCAGAGGTCACTCCTGATAGTGCTCAGGGGACCACATTCGGTGCCAGGAATTTGAACCAGGGCCAGCTGCATGCCAGGCAAGTGCCTTACTTTCTGGACTATACCTCTAGTACCCCCCAGGAGCAATGTTCTTTTTTTCCTTTCCCACTTGGCTTTCCTTCTCCTTCACCCCCAACTGGGTAATACATCCACAGTGCAATTTGTAGCCCTTCTTTTTTGTTTCTGTTTTTGTTTTTGAGCCATACTGGCTGTATTCAGGGCTTCCTGCTCGCTATGTTCAGGGATCACTCCTGGTGCGATATGAGTGGTTTATGGGATGCTGGGGATTGATCGAACCCAGGTTGACCATGTACAAGACAAGCACGCTACCTGCTGTACTACCTCTCCAGCCCCTCATATGTTTAAAATGATCATCTAATTGTTTATAATCGTATGCATACATACATGTGCATGAAATTTTTTTTGCCAGTCTTAGTTCTACAAAACAATTATATTATTCACATTTGTATGCATCTTGCTTCTCTTGCTCAGAAATAGCTCATGAAAATGCCTGCAAGACCTGGTACAGCTCCCACCCTCTTCTCCCAGTGGTGAAAAATCCCATTGTACACCTCTATCTTTCACCCATCATGGATGGGCACTCGCTGTCCCTAGTGTCTTGTGCCTAACTATAGATACAAGAGTCTTGTATCTATCTAATGAACATCCCGGTGCCCAGCTCTCCTGGCGCCAGCACTCCGAATTCCATGGGACACGTTCCCAAGAGTGGGACTGCTCGGTTGAAGAGATGTGCTTTTCACTGGCAGGGGCAGGGTGAGCCACATTTGGTGGTGCTCAGGAGAGCCAGCACTACTGGGGGCACACCCGAGACCCCTGGTGTGAAATATACACCCCAAGCTTTTGAACCAAATGCCAGGCCTTTACTTTTTAAGGGAAGAACTGTGCCCATGGAGATGCATGAGGTTTCTCCTGGCTCTG